CAGATTAATGCACCTAATTAAATAATTCAGATTAATGCACCTAATTAAATAATTCAGATTAATGCACCTAATTAAATAATTCAGATTAATGCACCTAATTAAATAATTCAGATTAATGCACCCAAATAAATAATTTAGATTAATGCACCTAATTAAATAACTCAGATTAATGCACCCAATTAGATAATTTAGATTAATGCACCTAATTAAATAATTCAGATTAATGCACCCAATTAGATAATTTAGATTAATGCACCTAATTAAATAATTCAGATTAATGCACCCAATTAGATAATTTAGATTAATGCACCTAATTAAATAATTCAGATTAATGCACCCAATTAGATAATTTAGATTAATGCACCTAATTAAATAATTCAGATTAATGCACCCAATTAGATAATTTAGATTAATGCACCTAATTAAATAATTCAGATTAATGCACCCAATTAGATAATTTAGATTAATGCACCTAATTAAATAATTCAGATTAATGCACCCAATTAGATAATTTAGATTAATGCACCTAATTAAATAATTCAGATTAATGCACCCAATTAGATAATTTAGATTAATGCACCTAATTAAATAATTCAGATTAATGCACCCAATTAGATAATTTAGATTAATGCACCTAATTAAATAATTCAGATTAATGCACCCAATTAGATAATTTAGATTAATGCACCTAATTAAATAATTCAGATTAATGCACCCAATTAGATAATTTAGATTAATGCACCTAATTAAATAATTCAGATTAATGCACCCAATTAGATAATTTAGATTAATGCACCTAATTAAATAATTCAGATTAATGCACCCAATTAGATAATTTAGATTAATGCACCTAATTAAATAATTCAGATTAATGCACCCAATTAGATAATTTAGATTAATGCACCTAATTAAATAATTCAGATTAACGCACCCAATTAAATAATTCAGATTAATGCACCTAATTAAATAATTCAGATTAATGCACCCAAATAAATAATTTAGTTTAATGCACCCAATTAAATAATTCAGATTAATGCACCTAATTAAATAATTTAGATTAATGCACCTAATTAAATAACTCAGATTAATGCACCCAATTAGATAATTTAGATTAATAGTCCCAATTAGATAATTTAGATTAATGCACCCAATTAAATAATTCATATTAATGCACACAATTAGATAATTTAGATTAATCATGTACACAATTCATAAAACTCTATAACTCCAAATACATTAAATTATGTAATCTAGCCTAGAAAATAATAAGCATGTAACAAATTGAGACTAGAATAGAATTAGCATGTCAAAATTGCAACATCCATAAATTATATTTTATAACCTTAAAATTCATGCAAATCATGGTAGGGAAATGATGAACCATACGCATAAAACAAGATCATACTAATACAATTAAGTATGTAAATTATAATAGAGCATTCTAATTAAACTAAGCAATTAAAGAGTACCATTGCATAATTTATAATTATTGAAATAGTGAGCAATTCCGCAACAATTCCTAGTAACATTATACAAAGCTAACCTAATAGTCTATATAAATCTATTCAATCAATTTCATAGAAAAGATATATAAAATCTGTTTTAAGCTTGTTGTTCAAATTGTGAAATTAAATAAATAGATTTATGAAGAAATCAAATTATATACCAAGCACATATGCTGATAATTACAATTAAATTTCAACAGAAATACACAAAACAATAAAAGGATAAAGAGACGAAACCGAAGCCTGCACGGAAGCAGTTTCCTTAAAACAGATTTCGCCCTCACGGGTCGAGTGCTTGAGGAAACCCGGCGTCTGTCTCCCAGGATACGACGGTCAAAACCAGCTACGGCAGAAGCACTATCTGTCTAGCTTAGCGAACAAAACAATGGCAGCACTCTCTCACAATAGGAACTATCTAGCAAACTGACTTGTAAAATGGAAGCAAAAATTTCTATATTGAAACTTGACAGGAGGGTCTCAATTTATACATGTATAGGGGAGAGAGGAAAAGCCTTCAGCCTTTAAGGCTAGTCATTAAAACACCAAGCATCCATAGCTCATTTCCACAAAATGAAAAGTATGGATGCCCAAAGGATTCACACCCTTTAGCCAAGAAAAAAAATTTAAATACTCTTTAAAATCTTATTCATGAATCTAACATCATGAAACAATTTCTTGGCAATTTCTTATTCAAAACCCAATGATTTTTGGCTCACTTGGACCCAACACAAAAAATGATTAAGACCCACTTTAATATTTAATTAAAGTCACCACACTTTAATATTAAATTAAAGTCCCCAAAAATCATTTTTTCTAACAAAAAATTGTTCATATAATTTCAATGTAAAAACAATGTAAATGAAACTTTTTCGGCATTTTGATCATTTTTAGCAGATGGTGTTATTTCATTTGTGTCAATGATCTATTTTATTGTCTTTAAATTATATTTTTATTTAAAATATTTAATGCAATAATTAAAAATACAAATTTCAATTCATTAATTTGCTTCAAAGTGACACGAATTTAGTTCATTGTTTGTCACCATATAATTCAAATTTTAAAACTTTGTCATGCACTTTGTAATGGTCTTTCTTGAATATGACTAGGGCAGAACAATAAATTTTGTATAGGAAAAGTCCAAGGTGCGCATAAAAAAAATTGAGTTAGTTTTGGTACACAACTGATCAATGATAATTTATTACATGAATGTTGTGAAATGAGTATTTCATGAGGAAAAAATAAAAAATAAAAATCTGACAAGTCATTCTTTTATAAAGTTAATTTTAAACTATTAATTAAGGTCTCATTTAGAAACAGACTTTTTTAGTAATTTTTTGACTTTTTGACTAAAATGTGATGTAAAAAAAATTAGTTTATTTAGGATGACTTTTTGACTTTTTACAAAAAGATGTATAAAAAGTAGAGAGAAAAGAGAATCTTTGACTTTTTAATATAGGTTGTTAACTTTTTAATTTTTTTAATAATTTTTTGACTTTTTGACTAAACCGATCACTTCCTAAATGAGACTTAAATATCAGTATATAATTGATTAAACCACCGTTTTAAGCTATTTTATTTATTGACATAATAGTAAATCAAAAGTACACATACGTCTTTGATTTATTAAAAATAAAAAAATAAAAAAGTGGCTTGTACCCCTCGCATAATCAAAAATCAACTAGATAAAAGTAATGCCATGAATTAGTATGTGAAACGGTTGGTTATTCTAAAATACTAATAGAATAAAGAGATATTAAAACACTTTTCCTAACTTAGAAGACTATCTTATCCCATTATACATTTTACAAATACTTATAAACATAAAGATTCCTATCTACAAAAATAAACATAAAGATAACTATAAAATTTTCAAAAATTAATTAGGGGGTTATAACCCCCTTGGCCCCAACATAGTTTCGCATCTGAATTTATGTACGCATGAAAATTATATATGGCTTGAAAATCAACTGTGTATATGGAATAGTTGAATTCAACCTCAAGCATATTAATTGATTTTTATTATGGCTTGTTTTGATAAGCGGGTAAAAAGTCATTTTTTGACTTTTAATGTATTTTGGTCACATCATTTCTATACTTTTTTTATATATTTTTGCAAAAAAAAAAAAAAATTAAAAAATTGACTTTTAACATACTTCTCAAAACAACTCATCTTCAATGTTTGACATTAGGTGTTTATTTTTAACATTGGAATATGACAAGCTATCAAAAAGAAGTATTTTCAATGTTAATATGCAGATTATTGTAGAGCGAACATCAAGGTACAATCATATTGGCTATACAAGGAAATGATTATCCTGGAGCATATGTAAAAAAAAAAAAAAATCTCACAAGTAATTTAGGTCTCGTTTGTCAAGTGACTGTTTTAGCCTAAAAGGTAAAAAATTACTAAAAAAAATAAAAAGTCAACAACTTATACCAAAAAGTCAAACATTCTCTTTTCTCTCTATTTTTTACACATCTTTTCGTAAAAAGTCAAAAAGTCATCCCAAACATACTTATTTTTTTACCTCATATTTTAGTCAAAAAATCAAAAAATTACTAAAATAACTTGCTACTAAACAAGGCCTAATATCACTTTCATCTACATTAAGGTAGAATAAAAATGGCTAATATGTGTGCCAAAATTACGGGGTATTATTTTTTCTATGCATGTGCGACATGTCAAATTAGGTTTGCAGATGGCAAATTATAGGAGCTAAAAATACGAACGTGAAACATATGCCGTTCAATTATTTTAATGAGCAATGCTATATACTACTAATTTATCATTATTAATCTCACTACTAGTGAGGTGGCAATTGAAAACAAAAAAATAAAAAACAAGGCATAAACACACTGTGACAGTGGGTGAGACTCACTACCACATCATTAGAGCTACCACTAATTAGTAGTCTAAAACATTTGTCGTTTACTATTTTGTTTAGCAATCATGCACCCTACTAGATTTACTATGAAAGGAAATTTAGTGGGTGTTTTGGAAGTGAGTTTTTATGTAGGTTTCTTTAGTTATAGGATAATATTGGATAAAAAAAATTTAGTATTTGGGAAGATAATTGAGTTTTTTTGTGACTGGATGCGATATTTGTGAGAGAAAAAGTGAAATGATTATGGAATTGGATGTGATATTTTATTTAGATTTATTTTTTTTGATTTTGCAAAACCTTTATCTTTTAGTGAAAAAAAAAAAAAAAAAAAATCTAGGAACCAAGTTCCCAAACATCTTTCTCATTCTATATTTCTTTTGTGTGTGTGTTTTTTTCTTTTGAGAATTGCCTTTTAGTGCGAAGATTTCAAAATAATTGTTAAAACATTGAGATGTAATGTTTACATTTTTTTGACCACTTTAAATTTTACACACTAAAATGCGATTCTATCTTCTTTATAGGAAGCTAATCACTAACAAAAATAAATTATTTTGTTTCAATTCGTTGGCCCTTTACTTCAATCATTATTTAATAGCATGTTCACACTCACCTGAATAGCCTCAGGACTAGCATATGTTCTAGGGAATTTCAAATGATCTGCACCAATGAGACAGATTCATGCAGTGTCTGAATATGACTTGCAGTTTGCTTCAGCTACTAAATAACAAATGTGGGCAGCAGTAACCTGCAGAAAATTGGTCTTATTAACTAAACACAGAAGATAATCATCTTTCAAGTGCTATTTTATTGCTAAGATGTTGCATAAAAAGAAATTTAATAATAAAATATTAGATTTTCATTCTTTGGTGCCTGTCAAAGAAAAAACCTCTGTTCAATTGAGCTTAACAACTAATTGGTTTACTCGCCCGTGAAGTAAATCATCACACCTACGGTCCAACCAATTGGAAGAGAATCAACATATTCATTTTTGAATTGAGAAATTCTTCAGAAACAAAAACAACATAAATTATACTCTTTTTTTTTTCTTTTTTTATATTTCCTCAATTTTCCCTGCAGTGATAAGTAAAATTTTAAGCAAGAGAGCAAAAAAAAACCTAAACCTCAAAAGAATCCAAACACAGCATTCCTCGCCCCTCTCCTTCCATAAGCAATCTCCAAGATGAATAACCACAAGCTCATCATCTTTTGTTCTGTTTGCGGTTATGATGGCTAAATTCTCCTCCCATTCATCAAGCATACAGGTAGCTCCAATCTGTAGTTCATGCAAATCTAAATAAATAAATAACTGAATGAACAAAAAATTAAACAGTTATGCAGGTGAGATTGTGCCAGGGAAATCTAATGCTATGACTGCAGCATGGCTTGAAAGTAGGACATCATATGCTTAATGATCACCTATTACTATTAGGTTTCTTTTTCTACAGTTCTCATACAGAGTTTACAGAAATATAGGAGAAATCTCGAATTTGAGTTGTTAAACCTATATAACTAATTGATGCGGTAAACATACTCCAAAAGAGAATGTTTCAAAGGCTTTTTGGGATTGGGAAAAAGAATCCATACCATCATTAGCTTCAGTGGAAATATAGTTTGAGTGAAACAGAATTTTAATAATGTACTATTAGAACTGCATGGTATCCAAGTTGGTGTTTGGTTATGTGGTTTTTTATATTTTATGTTTGGTAATGCGGTTTTTTATATTTTATTCTTGACTAAAATTTGTTGATCCATTATAGAGGTTTAGAAGATTTATTTCCTCAAATTTCTTCATCTAGAAGTTTCTAGTTTTATAGATCTGTTATGTAAGGTAGAGTTCCCATATCATAAACATTCAAATTTGAGTTGGGTTAGAAGCCTATTCTTGGGTTGTAATCATGTCTATTAGTAACTTCCAACCTTTTTCTTATGATGGAATTTACGACTAATTTGGATGAAATTGAGTGAATCAATCTATATTCTGCAAAGGTCAATTTGGTCTTTAAAATTTCAAGAATTTATCATGAAATCCCTTGATTTAAGATGCAGTTACAAGTTAAAGAATGGTTTCCTTAGGTTAACGAATTAATGATAAACTCCTCTATTGTTTTAAGTACGAATCTCAAACAAGTCATGTGTTAAGTAATGCACTTATCTCTCCATTTCTCTCTTTCTCTTCTTCTTCTTCTTCTTTTTTTTTTTTTGGGATAAATAAAAAAAGCCTTTTTTTTTTTTGCAAAGAATACAAAAGTTAAGAACCAAAAGACACAGCACATAAAAAGCAAAACAGAAAACTCAAAGACTAGCTAATCAAGCCATCAACAAAAGTCAACAAATCTAGCTCAACGGAAAGCGTGACCCAACTATGAAGCACCAATAATAACTGGCTTTCCAACCATGTAACCGAACAAGTTAAACCCTGAAAATTGCGCCTATTATGTTCCAATCAAATCAGCCAAAATAAACAATGGGCAGCAAGTAACCACACCTTCCGATGCAGTTTCCCAACCTTCCCCCCACCCCAACTCTGCAACAACTCCATTCATGGAACCATTTTGTTTAAGCAAATAGATACAAAAAGCTTAAAACCCATAGGCATATGCACCATCAAGTGTGGCAACTAAGCTCACTGGTGTGGTTGCAAATTTGCTTGAACTGTTTTAACAAATTTGCTTCTCCAATGTGAGGTAAGTACAGGCCCTTTACTTTTTCAAGGAAATATCTACCATAGACCTATGGAAATTGAGTTTCAACCCTCAAGATTATCTTACTCAAGTTCCAACCCTAAAATTCAAAATGCTACTTCCTTTGGCCTCCTTTTGCTCTTTGTTACATAGGTAAAATATATCCACTAAAGGTGCCAACCAAGTCAAGATAAAAAAAATTATAAAAAGAAAATAAAAAAATCCATAGAATTGAGTTCACCTATAAAATCTACAAAAGCAAAGGAAGATAAATCAAGAATGAAAACTATGAAGGGAAGACATCTTTAGCCCAGTATGCTGATTCCTCGCCCTCCACACGCTACATCAAGCACATAAGTGCTAGCATCCATACTTTCCCCATCCTCTGGAAGTGACACTCACCTACGCAACACTCGTATAACTAGAGGATTAATCTAAGAATGACCAACTGTATACCAGAAGTAGAAAATAACATTCCCCAAATCCCTAACCAACTCATTCTAAAGTAAATAATCCACACTAATTCATTGGCTTTCTTGCACCAACAGCACCAATTAGGGAGCAAAAAACCCCTCTTCCCCAAATTGTCAACAAGGATAGTAAACAAAAAACGACACTTTATAGGAACCCCCATCTTCCAAATGCTACTCCATTGAAATTTACTGTTAGGATTTATACCGTATCCCGCTGACTCAAACAGAAGCACACCCACCCACACACCAAAGAGAAAAACAATCCCACATGGATTTACGTGGTTTAATCCAAATTGCCTACATCTACAGGAGAGAGAGCTTCCACTATGAATAAAATAGAGAATAATATAAGATGGCCAAAATACTCAAAACCTCTTACCCGAACTCCATGCTCAAGGGTAGTCGAGCCCTTGCTCACCCCGGTACCCACGGTATTTTTTCTCTCACCCCTTACATCTCTGTTTTTTCCTTCAGCTCAATCTCTCTCAGAGAAACCCTATATTCCACATGACTATTTATGATAGTCTACCCATGAGAATTCTAATTCTACACAATTAAGTAACCAAATCCTACATATAATAGGTTTCCTTGTAGATTCCGAATTCTACTATCCTAATCCAAATACATGTATAAACCAACCTAATAACCGTATGGAACCCACCTTTATCACATGGGTGGACTAATCCTAACAATCACCCCCATCCACCCATGTGGGATAATGTTATATGCATCCTAACCTGGATGTCCTGGTTTGCGTGATACACTCGACCCTCACCTAGAAGACGTTGCACCCCCTCGAACTGAGTGCCCACATTATTTGCACCTCGCGCAGTAGTACTCAAGCGTGTCCTTCGTAGCTTCCTTTGCCCTCATACTCACGCTGGTCCCCATACTAGCCCATGAGAACTGACGCACCTCTCTAAGGTGTCTCTACTGCCACGAACCAAAACCTTCATAGAAAAGAGACCCGCGTCCTCCCTTGGTGTACACCATCTTGTCGTGAAACCGTCTCAGATTTTATGCCCAAAGTTTCCTTTTGTGAACATTCAGCAACCCATTATCTTCCTCTTTGTGGCCACCAAATATCCTTGCAATTGTTGCTCACCATTGTTCACCCATAACTCATATTACTCGTCTAATGCTTGACAATAGCATCCCTCTTGTCGCAACATACTCCACGAGTCCGTACAAGTGGCCAATCATGATATCTAATCAAACAAACACTGTCAGATTGACCCCACAATGACTGGACTTCCTTGTTGATTGAATTAGATTACTTCTGGATCACCTAGATCACATGCAATTACCTTTGATCACCCTTGAATCTGTCCAATCCCTTTAAACTTGTTTAGAATCTGAAAATTCTGGCCAAACTAATGAATCCGCAACCCCTGAAAACCTTGAGATCCACTTTTGCGGTGAATTTTTCTACCATGTTTCTTTTTGCGGAAGCCTTCACTAGATTTGAGCCTTTTTTCTTCTTCTTTTTTCCGTATACCACCGCGATTTCTTTATCTTTTGTGCAAGTCCTCCATATGCAGTAAATGCGTCCTCTGCTAACCACACATAGGATCAACAACCTTTAGCTCCAATACCACTTGTTGGGATTTATACCATAACCCACTAAGGCAAATGGAAGCACACCCACCCGCCCACACACCAAAGAGAAAAACAATTACACACAGATTTATGTAGTTGAGCCCTTGCTCACCCCGGTGCCCACGGTATTTTTTCTCACCCCTTACATCTATATTTTTTCCTTCAGCTCAATCTCTCAATCTCTCTCAAAGAAACCATATATTTCACATGACTATTTATAATAGTTTACCCATGAGAATCCCAATTCCACACAATTAGGTAACCAAATCTTATATATAATAGGTTTCCTAGTAGATTCCGAACTCTACTATCCTAACCTATGATGCACGGACACGGATACAGGACACGACAAGAATACACGGACAAGCAAATTTTCAAAAAATGAGGGATACGACACGCTGGGGACACGTTCAATATATATAGTTATATTTATTTATTTATCGTATGTCTAAAATAAAAATAAAAAATCATTAGAAAGTAATTAAAAATACAAAATAATATAAAAACCAATGGCATGCTTAACAATCAAATATTGGTTCATAAAATTACAATAATAATAAAATTAATAAACACAGTATCTAAAAGATTTTTTTATTGTTGTATAGCATTTTAATATTAAATTATTATATATATATATATTACAGTATTTTATAATAGAAGATGTATGGAGCTGAATGCATTATTGAGGTGAGTGGGATGGTGACACAAATCTTAGTGGGCCCCACAAACCTATTTTATATATATTAAAATAAATCAACATTGTTTCCACTGACTGACTTGGTAAGGAAAAGAAAACAAAGAAGAGAGAGAGAGAGAGAGAGAGAGAGAGAGAGGAAGAAAACGAAGACACAGACTGAAGAAGAAATACGAAGGTAGCAAAAGAAGAGAAACGAAGAAGACAGAGGAAGAATGAAGAACAGAATAAACAAATCGAAGAAAAGAAGAACAGAATGAAGAACAAGTTAGGGCTCTAACGGGTTATGTAACGGCCCCAAAATGCATGTCACGATGATCGTTATGTAATTATGAATTAATATGATTTAATTTGAAAATATCTGTCCGAATTAGGAAAATATCTGTTGGGGCTACGACCGGAACTGAAATTGACGACCTTAATGGGTTCAGAAACTGAAATTGGGTACATGGATATGCGAATGGAAATTTTTAGCTATATTTGGAAAGTTTAATTGAAAATTGATTTCGTCTGATTCGCTAAGTTGTGTTTGGCTCATCATTTATACAATTATATATGTATATGTAAGATATGAGCTCATATGAGCTCATCCTTATCAATTAAGAGCCCAAAATATCTTAAGAAAGAGGGAGAATTCTAGAAAAAACGAGAGAAAGGAAGAAAGAGAGAAAGAAGAAGAAAGAAAGAGAGAATCCAAGAAGAATGTGTAGAAATTGAAGGAGAGGCTCAAGATCAAGCTTGTATTCAACAAGATTATGCAAGATTAAGTAGCTATGAAGGCCCTATGTAAGAATCTAACTCTCAATTCTTGAAGATTAAGTGTTATGGAGATGGATTTATGGATTATGTGTGAGTTTTGCATGTATTTTACTATAAAATGTTAAGAACATATTGTACCCTCATGCATGGCATAGATTCATGAAAATCATGTTCATAAACTTCTTTTTCTTGCATGATTCTTGAGATTTGAAAATAAACTCCATGGATTTCAAAGATTGGAGCTTAATTTGCAAAAATGATGGTTTTGTATTTCAACTCAAGGGTTTGAATGTTTTGTATGAAATTTAAGCTCCACTTTGAAGTTATGATTTTGTTTAAAGCTAGATATGTTACATTCAACACGTTTTTGAAGAGTTTGGGCCTTGATTTCCATGATATGAAGTTGAATTAGGCAAAGGAAAAAGGGTCCATGTTTTCAGCATTTTCGTCCTGAAATTTTACCTAGACTGATCGAGCGGCCCGGGCCACCGCTAGAGCGGCCAAGCCTTGATCGCCCGAAATTGCATACTGTTTTCTGCCACTAGTGCAGCCAAGCCACCGCAGCTGCGGCCAACAGGGCAGTTTTCTGATTTTGATTTCTTTCTATTTTTCCAACTTCCTGGCCCTGTTTACATGGTTTTCAAGTGCATCTCATATGCATTTAATGATCATAAAGGAAGTTAAAGAACGAATTGGATTAACAGAATGAATAAGTAACAACTGAATACATTTAAGGACTAATGGACCGATTGCATGTGTAATGCTAAGAATTGTATTGTGTTATGCATATTTGTGATTGTAGATCACGAGTCGAGGACCGACCGACTGTTTCTAGAAGCCCACTGTGAGTAACATTTATGTAAAGATGTGTTGATATGCACTATACTTGAAATGTTATACGAAATGCTATATGATATGATATGTTTCTGAAATGTGATTTTGATTCTGTGAACGAATATCCGGTTTGCGAATCTAGTATGACATCCAAGGATAGTCTCAAGTCATGGGGAACGGCATGTTAGTGCGGGTCCATGACATACATGTGATTACGAGATCTCGTTAGCCACTTCATTGTGGTGATATGTGTTTAATCGGTGTCCAAGACTGATTACTCTAGTCAGAAGGCGTTACGAAATGTTCCTTTGGATGTACCATTATTATGTTCTGATATAAGACTGATATGATAGATATGTATGATCGGTTTTCTGTATATGATATGATTTGGAATTCGTTCCCTAACCTCTTTACTTTAATGTTATTCACTGGGGTTTAGCTCACTGTTTTATATATATGTATAGGTGAGCGTCATGGAGAACCAACTTAGGGAGAGAGTTGAGCCACCCTTTAAAGCCCTACGAGGTTTGGTGCCTCCGAGTTGAGGCTAGGTCTGGTAGACTGATATCGAGTTACTGTTCAAAATGTTGGGCTTTTGTTTATATGTAAAATCTACAAAAGCAAAGGCAGATAAGCCGAGAATGAAAACTGTGAAGGAAACATATCTTTAGCCCAGTATGCGGATTCCTCCTCGCCCCCCACATGCTACATCATGCACATAAGTGCCAGCATCCATACTTTCCCCATCCTCTGGAAGTGACACTCACCTACGCAACACTCATATAACTAGAGGATTAATCTGAGCAAGACCTATTGCATACCAGACGTAGACAAACAATTCTAATTCCTTGGCTTTCTTGCACCAGCAGCACCAATTAGGGAGCAAAAACCCCTCTTCCCCAAATTGTCAACAAGGATAGTAAACAAAAAAAAAGACACTTTATCGGAACTCCCATCTTCCAAATGCTGCTCCATGGAAATTTACAACCCATGCTACCCAAAAAGAGAATGAAAGAACCTAATTGAGAATTTTCCATCTGTTTCCTTCCACTTCATCACATCTTCCATTTCTCTAGGATCCATCCCATGCAGGAGCTCAAATTCACTGCCTCCAATTCCCAAGCCTATACCACCGTAGCTGATCAAAAGGAGAAAAGAAATACCTATACCACTCTAATGAATTAAGGCTCCCTTACACTAAGATTGTAAACCAAACCCAAAATAAGGATCCAGTCTCACTTTTGAAAAATTAAATCCCTTCTCCCATTGAATACTTAATTTTTTTCCTCAACCCCACTGAGACTTCATTTCTATTACACACACACAGACAAAAGGACGCTAACCCAAGATCTACGTGGAAGAATTTATTTTTCCAGAGTATTAGCATCAACTTGATAACCTATTCTCAGTAAACATGTATCAATCTTCATGATAATGCATGGTCATGGTTAATAATCAGTCATATGGATCGATTGTTGCATTTGGAGTCCAAAAAAGGGACTGAAAAAGACACTGCTGGTGCAGTAATAAATTGAAGCCAAGTAGTTGAGATATAAGCTTTTCCTAATAGAGTTGGAACTAAAAGTGACACTACTGACATAAATAAGATCAAATGGAATGGAAAAAAAAGAAAAAGAAAAAGAAAAAAAGCATTGGCAAGAAAATAAGATGTCTTTTCAAGTTTTCGGCAATAGTTTCAAGCTAAGATATCACCTCAGAAGAATGTTGAGATATTACAGCACCAAGCAGACTGCTACTACTCGTATCAGAAAATACATCTGCAAGTTGCCTTGCAATTAGCAGGCATAATGTCCGCAAAGGGGATCCCACTATTAACTGAAGAGCCATTTGTTTCACAGAAGCACCATAAAACTGAATAAAGTCAAAAGAAAGATGAGAGTGTTAGCCTCAAATAAAAATTCAAAAGAAAGATGAGAGTGTTAGCCTCAAATAAAATACACTGATATATGTTTCTCCATACATGGACTCGCTTGATAAATTAGGGACCAAGTCATTCCAAATATGTCTGGAGGACACCAAATGGAAGAGAAAAAAAAACAAACAAACAAACAACCTGATCACCAAGTTGAGCTGCAAGAACAAGGGCTGGCCCTCACAATTGACCTTCTTGTGCACATTGTAAAGCCTCTCCTATTCTACCAGAAACCAGAAGCTTCTGGACCTCAAAGGCAGTAGTAGTAACCTAGGGAACCAATAAATATTTATTAAAACGAAGAAATACTTGAACTCTGTGACAAATATTTGGAGAAGCCAAGCAGAAGAGACTTGTCTACCTGAATCTCTCCTTCAGGTGGCAAGTTCTGCAAGCAGCGACTAGAAGCACCATATTCACTAACATTCCTCTTCTCTTGGCAGATGCAAAGAGCTTAGCTACAGCAGATTCTAGACAATCACTTTCCTAGTAAAAATAAGCAACCCAGAAAAAAGCCATTTCTCACTAGTCAAAACTAAAAGAGAGCTGTCAAAAAAGAGGAAATAAAAGGGTAAACCAGTGGGTTCTTGACTTTTTGTGGTACACATCATTTAGACAATAAAGCACCAAAATATCTATGTTTTCATTAAGGATGGCCAGAGAAAGTAAAGAATATACCCATGTGGTGCACACCCACATGGGGCTGCTTGAAATATGCAGGAGTCATATATAGGAAGTTACTGATGAAACTTATTGACTGCATTTGTACTTCTTTTATATTAGATCTGGAATTTTAACACTTGTGTTTTATGGTGTCGCCCTTTTACCTCATCCACAACTCTTTTTTATTTTTTAGGTTCAATGGCAAGGGATCCTAACTGACTTGCGTGCTTTTCAACTAATCTATTTCCCGATCTGGTCAAAGCCAAGCCATTCATGTCAGGACTAGAAAATTCACAAAAAAATTCTTTCTTGTAACTTAACTTGAAAAGTTGAACCTTGACTTAACTATAAAATAAAATACATGAAACCCCACAAAATCAACCCACCAAACCCCCCAAACAGCTCCTGCAAATCCTCTAATCAACCCAAAATCAACCCAATATTTAAATCACCTAAATTGCAAGCCTCATGATTTTAAATCATCAATATCAACAACCCAATATTTTAATCACCATGCCTCTGCTAATGCTGCAACTCCCGAACGCCTATGCTATTGCTACAGCTCCTGAAAATTTTTAATCACTATGCCTCTGCTATTTTAACTCCCACTTGCTATTCATAAAACTACATCTTTACCGCCCAGAAGCTAATTTTTGAATCTAAACTTTTCACCTACTTCAACTCCCAACGCCCACCTGACAACGTCCAACGCCCAACGCCCACCTGCTCCTACTAAGAAAAAAAATCATTAAAGAGATTTTTTTTAATAAAAAAAATGTCACTTTTTTAGATTTTGCAACCACCCACTCATTACATGCATTTACTGCACGCAAAGAATCAAAACGAATATACACAAGAAGAGGGTAATATATGAATTAAAACGTACAGATCAATGCCCACATCAAATTCCTTTTTAATTGTTTGTGTTCTTGAAAACAAAATTTGTTTCGTTTTTCCTAGTTCATGGCACGTCAAATTCAAGCAACTGCTCTCATTTTTGTTGGATACATATATATATATATGGGGGGGGGAGTGTTATTCGGGTGATTATTCAGTACTCCCGGAGTATGGACACGTGGTGCTCCATAATGTTTTGATTGGTGGAGAGACACAAGGGCGCACGATTTATGTTGGAGATGGGGGGACAACATGGGGCTAACTAATTGGTGATTGGTTTGGAGTATGGACACGTAGTGCTCCGAAAGTATTGAATAATTTCCCGTGTTATTCACGTATGCCCTTAAGGAATATGGTAAGCAAACTTAAAATAATTATACATTGTTTGTTATTTACAATTTTATGTGAGACGTATAATATTTTTAAACTTCTTAACATGTGTTTTAAAAGTACATATTAATAATATACATATATATACTATATTATGCGACCAATTTTTTCTGCACTATGAAAGTAAATGTTATGCGGTGTGCTTCTCTTTTTTGATTGTCTTTGACAATTGCAATAGGTATATCAATATATGTTATCTACGAAAAAAATTAATTTGACCCTATAATCATAACATTTCATTTTATCGTTGTTATTTCTAAAAAATAGACAATAGATACATTTTTTACCATTCATTTTTTCGAGATAGACACAATAAAATCAAAATGTTACTATTATTGAATCGACATAATTTTTTTTATGAATGATATACAACAATGGCCCTACAAAATAAACAGTTCGAATAATCGAAACGAAACTCGTGATAGTCCTCATGAACCTTTTAAGTTCTCTCATATTGCAATGTAGGAGAAGCCCAACTCCAAAATTTTATCCTTTTTATTTATTTATTTAAAAAAATAGAGTTTCATTGTCAAAATAGATCTTAATGTAAAAACTCTTTAAATATTAATTTGAGAATGCTAGCGACACCAAACTTTTTACCAACAAATCTACCAAATCACTCACATCCACACCCATGTAAGTGATTTGCTAGATTTGTTGATATCCCTAACATTTTTCTTATTAATTTTATTAAAAATCAATATATACATAAAAAATTATGAAAATTTAAAATTAGACAAGTTATACTAGGAATCCTTACATTTTGTTACTTGTATCATGGTACTTACATTTTCAATTGACTTGACCCTTAATTTTAAATTTCATATCAATTTGGTCCAATTGATAACTCTGTTAGGATTTTTAATGAAAAATTATCACTAAGTTGGTTGAGAATAAGTCACTAAATTGATTATGTTTATAATTTTATCCCTAAAAGCATGACGCATGGCGCTTATGTGCGCATTTTTCATAAAAAAAATATTAACAACTAGAATCAATTAGACCAATTTGAAATAAAGTAAAACATTTCAAGCCAAAATTGGTCAATTGAAATTACAAGAAACAAAATAATTCAAGGATCAAAATACAAACACTAGTAATATAATTTGCCTTTTAAAATTTTAAAAAATTAAAAGAATATTTTTATGTTATAAGTTGTGTGCTTCTATCCTTAGCGTGCCAAACATCAAAATGATGTCTTATGTCTATGAGATGTTGTTGATGAAGGGCATTTGGTCAAAACCTCAATTTCAAAAATCATTCTAAGATCTTATAATAAAAGGGTAAATCTAAAGTTGCATTCACATAATTTGTTCAACTTCCTATTCATGAATTTGAGTTGCCAATGACCAAGTGATAGGATATTTAACTCACACCTTAAGTGCTAGATTGTAATTTGAGAGGGGAATTTGTGCCAGACAAATGGGTTGAGCAAAACCTATGTGCCTTGACTTGGCAACTGTCCCACAAATTCCTCGGCAGATGAGATCGAGCCAAGTAGTGGATTTGAATCTTGGACCGAGGTAGTTGAAGCGAGTGTTGATTCTAGCTGAGCTACAGATCTTGGCTGGGCTACATCAGCGTCCCCCGAAATGGGGTTGAGAAGTGGTCAAGTTTATGTGATCCTCGGCCGAGCTACAAGTTGTAAAGGGTTGCATAAGGCTAACCAAGATGCAGGCCGAGGAAACTTGGCCTATGGAGTTGCTCACGATGGTCTAGCAAAGCTAGTCCGGTTCGCAAGATGTTAAGGCAGACTAAGCTATAATCAGCTCGGTGGATGTATGCTACGTAGACCAATTGGATTGGGAGAACCAGCCTATCGTACGCGTCAATATTGTTTGGAAGTTTAGCTAATGCTGCTTCGTAGTATTGACGTGTACATGTGTAAGGCAAAAAGAGAATAGTACGTCGTGTCCAAGAAAGAACGAGCAAGGTAGTGCACGCGCAAACTATATAAGCTTTGCGGCACCTCCATACAAAAGGTTTGTAACTTTGCTTACTGAGAGCTACCTTTGCTTTTATCTTTCTTCTCTTTAAAAGGGTGCTAACTTGATCATCGGTGGGGTTTTCTGGTTACACACCCGCCGAATAGCTCACCGTCATTGTGCTTTTAGGCTAAGCAACGTTATTCAAAGTAACTTGGAGCTTGGACACAAGGAGTACGGAAGTAAAGAGTATTTACTCCCCGTACAATCAGTGCCGTCTGTGGGAATCTAACATACGAAACCTTGTCATCCAAGCTTTTCTGATCACCTTACATGGCGAACAATGATGACATTCTGATGTCCACCGTCGACGGGATCATGCCAAAGTTTGTTCAAAGGCGCGATGACTTGCCTGCCGTTTAGACCATGGTTGGGTTGGAGACCTCCGTAAGAGGGTTATACGCAGATACATGAGATAAATGAACATGGAGTTCAAGGCATTCATAGAGCCCTAAAGGGAGCAGACAATGGTACGGGTCTCACACATAGCACCTGGAAAGCAAGCTGAGAGACCAAGACGCCATCATCCGCAAGATGGCGACAGAGATGGAGGCCATGAAGTGCCAACTAAAGGAAAAGGGCGTTGTTGGGGTGGGAAACCACAATGAGAGCACCAAATCCCACTACTTTGGTAGTCCGAGTTGATGACCAACTCCTTCACTCTCTATCTCGAGGAGTTTTAGAGCCACCAACTCTGGCACACCAGCAGAAATGTCTAACACTCGAGATAGCAGTTATCATCCTTCGCGTTCATCGACGACATCAAGATACTCGTACTTCGCTCATTCGAAAGATCTGAGAGACATTTTGGAGAAGTAAACGTGTCAACAGGAAGTGCTAACACTACAACAGTTGGTCCTCGGAGGGCTTCCAAGTAAGGAGGTCATAACTCCGCCGCCACGCTTGGTGGCACACATGTCACTAGACAAAGACTTGGCGAGGCTGTGCGCCACTCCTTTTTCCCTTGAGATCGGGAATATACTGCTCCCTGTTAGCTTCCACCAGCCAAAATTCATGCTCTATGATGGAAAAAATGATTCATACATGCACGTGAGCCACTTCCGGCAAGTCATGGCTGGCCATCGGCGGAACGATGCCTTAATGTGCCATATTTTTCTATCGAGTTTAGGTAAATTAGGCAGGAAATGGTTCGAGAGGCTGCTGGAGAAAAGTATCCAAAGGTGGCAACAACTGGCAGAAGCGTTTGTCATTAGATTCAAAACAAACCCCAAAACGCCCAAGGAAGTCGATCATCTTTTAGGAGTCAAGATGGAACCGGGTGACTCTTTGAAGGCGTACAACGCCAAGTATTGGAAAACTTTTAACGAGATCCTTGACTACTTGGCCAACCTAACAATCACCTAATGTAAGCTTGGTCTTCTAGTCAGACATAGACTCTGAGACTCGCTTATAATGAATCAACCGTCGACCATGGAGTTGCTTATGTAACGTATCAATGAGCACATCTGAGTTGAAGACGATACAGTTACAACTACCATGAAGGCAAATTCGATAGTAATGGACAAGAAAGTAATGGGCAAGGTTCATGCAATTGGCAAAGGGGAAAATCGTCCAAACAACCACATAAGAGAGCAAAACTGTGGGAATGGCCGCAATAACAAAAGTCGCAACTCTGACTAGGCAAACTACCCTCGTGATGTTGCGGATGACACCAAGAGAAAGCTGACCACCCAAACTGCCATCACCACAGTCTTCAAAATCCTAATTTACCATATCCTTAGTGAGATTCGTGACGATGCATATGTCTGGTAGCCGGCTAAGTTAGGCGACGCCCAGAGAGGTTTTAATTCGAAGTACTGTTGCACTTATCATGACGAGCGAGGGCATCACATGGAAGATTACGTCCCTCTGAAATAACACCTAAAAGAGCTGGTGGCAGCTGGGCATTTAGACCGCTACATTGACGGAGGCGTCAAAACTGCACCCCAAGGTCAAGCGAGCCTAATAGCCTAGCCGCCTTAGACGGCCCTCCCCAAGGTATTATTAATGTAATCCATGGAATCATCGAGCCAGCACGGGTAAATGAGCTCAGATGGATGATTAAGAAAGCTGAACATATAAGGAAGGTTCTATTCGTTTAGCCCGCCGTGAAGAAGAGGAAGACCGAGGTGAAAGATATCCTCACTTTCTCAAGTAGAGACGTGGAACGAATCGAAACCCCACACAATGATGCACTGGTCGTCACGCTGTGCGTCAAGAACTTCGATATCAAACACATTTTGATTGACCAAGGCAGCTCGGTCGAGATAATATATTATGATGCTTTCATGCAGCTCAAGTTAGAAGACAAAGACTTAGCTCCAGCGACCTCACCTCTGGTGGGCTTCAACTCACAACCAGAATAGTCGGTTGGTAAAATCATCCTACCGGTCAAAACGAGGTCTGTCGTCAAGCAAGTAGAGTTTTGGGTATTAAAAGTACAATCAACTTACAACCTGATCCTAGGCAGAGGATCGCTTCATGCCATGCAAGTGGTGGTGTCAACTTACCAACAAGTAATAAGGTTTTCCTCTATGACTGAGACGATAGAGGAAGTATGGGGTGACCAAGTGATGGCCAAGTAATGTTTTGTGGCAGTAAACGGAAGCAGAGTAGCCAAAAGCTTCGTGCAAATGATTGAACGAGCAGAAGATCAAAATGTCCTAGATGATGTCGGTAAGAAAGCTGAAGATAAGGTCGTTGAAGACTTGGTAAAAGTAAAAATTGACGAAAATGATCCGAGCAAGTTCTTTTTGCTCAAGTCATCTTTGTCCACCCAAGAAAAATTAGAGATTATGAATTTCTAGGTGGCTAACATTGAAATGTTTGCATGGATGCCCTACGATATGCCTGGCGTTGATCCAGGCTTCGTCTGCTACCAACTCAATGTCTTTCCAGATACCCAACCAATCATACAAAGAACACGATGATCAGCACTTCATCATGCCAAAGTGGTGGTAGAAGAAGTTAAAAATTTGCTGGAAGTAGGGGCAATCCAAGAGGAGCATTACCCCCGATGGATTTCCAACATGATGGTGGTACCCAAGAAGAATGAGAAATGGCGAGTTTGTGTCGACTATAAGACCGTCAATAGGGCTTGTCCTAAAGATAGCTTCCCATTAGTACAAATCAATCAATTGGTAGACCTTACGACCGGGCACAAGAGACCTAGCATCTTAGATGCTTACCGCGGCTATCACCAGATCGCCATATATCTACTAGACCAAGAGATAACTTCTTTCACAACCCCAAGGAGGTTATTCTACTATAAGGTAATGCCCATCGGGCTGAAGAATGTTAGGGCCACATTCCAAAGAATGGTCGCCAAGATGTTCGCTCCTTTACTTGGCTGAACTATGAAGGCGTACATCAACAACATAATGGTCAAGAGAAAATGCGAGGCCGATCACTTGATTGACCTAGCTGAGATGTTCAACATTCTTAAGCGGCATAAGTTACGCCTTAATGCGTCTGAGTGCTTCTTCGGCGTGGGATTTGGAAAGTTTTTGGGCTTCTTGGTGAACAACAGGGGAATTGAGGCAGACCCCTTCCAAATCAAGGCCATATAAGAACTTGAAAGGCCAAACTCAACAAAGGAAGTGTAACACCTCACCGAAATGGCAGAAACACATAATAGATTCATAAGTTGGTCATCAGATTGTTGTCGCCCTTTCTTTCAAGCCCTGAAGTCAAAGTTCTCATAAGACGAAGAATGCGACCAAGCATTGGCAGATCTAAAGACGTACTTGTCATCCGCTCCACTTCTCATAACGCCAAAGCCAAGTGAAAAACTCTTCTTTATTTGGCCGTCTCCCAGCACACCATCGTGTGATGCTTGTCAAAGCCGAAGGCATATAGCACCTTCCAATTTTCTATGTGAGCAAAACCTTGTTACTAGCAGAGTCAAGATACATGCCGCTGGAGAAGCTCGCTCTGGCACTCATGATTGCTTCTAGGAAGTTAGCACATTATTTTCATGCCCATATAATCATTGTGCTAATAGAATTCCCATTGAAGGCCTTGTTCGAAAGGTCAAACTTCTCTGGTCAAATTCTAAAGTGGGCAATCAAACTGGGGCAGTCAGACATCAAGTTCTAGCCTAGATCTGCCATCAAAGCCCAAGCATTGGCCGACTTTGTTACAGAGTTCTCACCTAGGACTCACCCGGTTTGCTTGGTGGATCTTACCAACGCAATCGGACAAAAGAGAGTGGGCGCTGCAGCAATTACAAAGCCTACTGCCCCTCCATCCAATCCCACCAAGTCAACCGAACAAAGTGGAGAAGGCACTGCAAAAATCACAAAGCCTACAACCTCTCTAATCGATCCCAACCTACCAAACGAATAAAGCAGGACAAGCGTTGCGAAAGTTGCATGTCTGATCATAGAAAGACCGCAAATGGAACCTAACAATGTGTTGATGAGTTTGAAAATATCAAGACAACCTACTGGACCCAACGACGCATCACTAGAGGAAAAGGAGGCCATACGAGTTCCAGTCTACGACGACGTGCTCGAAATAGAAATAATTGAGCCGTCAAGCAAAGATCTGGACATTCAATCAGCTACGTCGAACAATACAAAACAAAGAAAACTTGAATATTCAAAAATCTCAAGATCCCTCAGAATGCTAGAAGCTATTTGTCAGGGAAATGCGAAAACTTTTGTCGATGGCGCTTCGAACAAACATGGTGTCGGATTGGGTATCGTTTTGATCTCACCAGATGAACTGACCATAGAACATGCAATCACACTTGGGCTGCCAGCATCAAATAACAAGACCGAGTACAAAGCACTGCTAGCTGGGCTAAAAAGTGCGCTTCGACAAAGAGCAATCGAGTTAATGGTCTACAGTGATTCAAAGCTCATCGTCAACCAGGTGTCCGAAGAATACGAGGCCAAGGAAGACAGAATGGTCAAATACTAGACCCTGGTAAGGAAAAGACTCAAGAAGTTTCAAGCAATCAGAGTCGAATAACTTGGTCACACAAACAACAGCCAAGCAGAAGAGCTGGTCGGTCTGGCTTCCATGGTCGACAAATCAATGCCTGGCTCCCTACTGATTGAATTCCTTCCAAGGCCTAGTATTGAAGAACCGAAAGTAGCAGAAGTACTTTATGCCGAGTTAGGGTCCACCTAGATGGACCCTGTCATAATCTTTCCGAATGAACGAGTTTAGCCCACCAACAAGAAAAAAACAAACAAAATTTGGGCTAAGTCTAAGCAGTTTTAGCTCTCCTCGTCTGATGTTTTGTATAAGAAATCTTTCATTGGCCTATACTTGAAATACGTTCATCCAAGCAAAGTCGAAGTCTTTCTCTTTGAAAGCCATGAAGGCATGTGTGGAAACCACATTGGGGGAAGATTTCTAGCTTACCGTGCTATTTCACAAGGGTATTGGTGGCTATGCATGCAGGCTGATGCGCAGAAATATATGAGAAAATGTGAAAACTGTCAGAAGTTTGCATACTAATTCATTAACCGGCCAGAGAACTCCTTCCCCTAATGAGTCATTGGTCATTCGTGATGTGGGGGTTAGATATATTGGGACCACTCTTAACTGCACTAGAGGTTAGATATATTGGGACCACTCTTAACCACACTATGCAACCGCAAGTTCTTTATCGTTATGACAGATTACTTCACCAAGTGGATGGAAACCAAACCTTTGGTGACCATCAAAGAAAAAGATGTGAAGAAGTTTGTCTAGAAAAATGTGATCACCCGATTCGGGGTTCCAAAGGCTTTAATCTCAGATAATTGCACTCAGTTTGATGAAAAACTCTGCAGGGGATTCTGCGAAGAATTGAAGATTGAATTTTACAATTTCATGCCGACACCCCCCAATCAAATGGCCAGGCTGAAAGGTCGAACAAGACCATTTTTTATGGATTAAAGAAAATGCCGAAGAAAGCAAAGGGAAAATGGACTGAGGAACTTCTTAATGTTCTCTGGGCTTATCGAACAACACCAAGACGTTTAACCGGGGAGACGCCTTTTGCCTTGGCTTATGCCATGGAGGCAGTCATCCTACTTGAGATTGGCATGCCTACCATACGGAGCAAAAAATTTGAACCAGACCTGAATGTGGAAGTTATTGCTCTAAAGTTGGACCTCATGGAAGAGCAGAGAGAAAAGGCACTGATCCATATTGCGACATACCAATACGAGTTATCCAAGAATTATAACAAGATGGTTCATCCTAGACAATTCATGATTGGGGATTGGGTCTTGCGTAAGGTGATGGGTAACACCCTCGTATCGGGTGAAGGAAAATTAGGGGTAAATTACAAAGGATTTTACAAGATCACCGATTTGGCAGGCAAATGAGCATGCTACTTGGAAGATTTGAATGGCCAAGCAATACCGCGACCATGGAACATGACCAACTTGAAGTTATTTTTCTTCTAGTTCAAATCTTAATGTAATTTTTCATTTTTTGATGTAACTTCAACTTTCGAGAATTGTTCGAAATAGTAGTTCGCTTCGTGTGCAAACTGTTCTATTTTGGCATCCTTTCATCTGATATAATACTGCGATGGAGGGACAATAAGTTGCCGGACCACTTTTTGTTGAGCTGATTTTGCTCAATTCCAAGCTTCTTGCTGAGCTGATTTTGCTTAGCAAATTGAGTTGATGTTTTGTTCAACTCAAAGCATTATGTCGAGCTGATGTTTTGTTCAACTCAAAGCATTTTGTTGAGCTGATCTTGAGTTGATGTTTTGTTCAACTCAAAGTATTTGCCAAGTTGATTTTGCTCGGCAAGTTGAGCTAATGTTTTGTTTTACTCAAAGCATTTTGCCAAGCTGATTTTGCTCGGCAAGTCGAGTTGATGTTTTGTTCAACTCAAAGCTTCTTACCGAACTGATTTTGCTCGGCAAGTTGAGTTGATATTTTGTTCAACTTCAAACTTCTTGTCAAGTTTATTTTGTTTAGCAAGTTGAGTTGATGCTTTGTTCAACTCCAAGCTTCTTGTCGAGCTGATTTTTCTCGGAAAGTTGTGTTAATGTGTTGTTCGACTCAAAGCATTGTGCCGAGCTGATTTTGCTCCACAAGTCGAGTTAATGTTTTGTTCATCTCCAAGCTTCTTGCTGAGCTGATTTTGCTCGACAAGTTGAGTTAATGTTTTGTTCAACTCAAAACATTTTGCTGAGCTGATATTTGCTTTACAAGCTGAGTTGGCGTTTTGTTCAACTCAAAACTCCTGGCCGAGCTGATTTTGCTCAGCAAGATGAGTTAGAGTTTTGTTCCTCAAACCCCTTTGTTGAGTTGATTTTGTTCAGTGAGAACTAAAGTTGTTTTGTTCAAAGTTCCCTGCCGAGGTGTCGATGCTCGCCTCAAAGTAAAAGCATGCATCAATTTGGAATCACAGATGGCAAAAGTTTATGAAATTTCCATTAATAGAAAGTTAAGTACAAAAGTAGAGGCATCGAGCCCAGTTACATCCATTACCAAACACAAAAGAAAAGGAAAAAAGGTAAAAACAAAGAATTTAAACTAAGAGAGAAAGATCATCAGCAAAATCATCTCCATTCTCCTGTTTGGCCCCATACCGAGCTCCTTCTAGGCGGCATCATCCTTTTTTGCGGTTTCCTCATCTTACAGCGCCTTGAAAACATCCTCGGTATAGAAGGTCATGTAGTTCAGTAGGAAGTGAGGGGGATGAGTGGTAAACACCTCGGCCGTGGGCCTATGTCCGAGCTTCTCACAAGCTGCCTCCTAGCCGAACTTGAAGAAGATGTCTTTGGTGGCGTTGGCCTACTTGATATAGCTCTTCTCGACCTCCTTGAAGCCCTTGTCTTTGGCTTTCCTTCTCAGTATCAAACTTCTCTTTCCTCAGCTTCTCTAGCTCAGCCTTTGCCACATCTCTATCTTTCTCAGTGCCACTGAGTTGGCTGAAAAGCTTAGCATTGTCAACGTTAGCCATCTCTAGCTCGGTCTCTAGATACTTTCCTTCTGCCGTCCTATCAGCCACTTTCTGTTGAAGATTGACAACTCACTCCATCACTAGATGAGTCTTCTGAATTGCCTGCAAGATGAAAGTGTTAGAAAAGAAAGCAAAACCGAGCAAAAAGTTAGACGATTTTTGCAAAGCACTTATGTTGGACATGGATTTCACCGTGGATTTGACCATCCGGGTGTCTAGAATGTGGTCTCTTTGCATCATGTCAGCTGGCAGCAACAATGCCTTTAACAGGTCAAAGGCAATTAAATGCTCTTTGTCCCCATTAATGGAAGCATTCGCAGGGATAGCCTTGCCTCGGTGCTTCAGCTTGGGCTGCCAGGGGGGGTGTAGGTTCAACTTTCTCAGCCGCTTGTTTAGTACTCAGCTTGGCCACTAGTTCAGCTGAGGGATCAGTTGTGCGAGCCCTTTTGCCAGCTTTACGCGACTCTAAAATGCTGGATTGGACAATGGTGGAAGCCAAGGCCAGCATGGTTCCTGAACTTTGACCGACAATTGGCACGGGCGGTGATGAACTGGTCGGTGGTTTAGAGGAAGTAGTAGTAATGAGGTTTTTAATCCTATTTCCTTTCACCATTTCCTCTTCTTCGATTAAGCATATTAGCGGCATGTCAGGAAGAGTTGGATTTGGCGAAGAAGAAGGTTCAGCAAGGAAATCAGTCACTTTACTTTTGCATTTTGCCGAATACTGATAGGTCGGTACATAACCAAGGAGATCATGGTTACTATGCTTCTTGTACGTTAGCGGGGCCCTCACCGCATCTTTGTTCAGATAAGGATATAGGGCTTGTAGCTCAGTAATAACTGTGAAAGAAGATTAGTTAGCTCGGAATAACAAATACCAGTTAAAACCATCATTTGTGTGGCCGAGTGTATATTGGCGTAACATCTCGGCCAAACCTAGATTCAAGTCTAACGTGCAGTTTAGCTCGGCAACTCCGTTGATTATTCGAAAAGTGTTGATGGATACTTGTGTGGGGCACAACCCGGTTCGTCTTAAGAACTCACAGATCAAGGGTTAAGCCAAGAAATGGAGTCGTCCTTCTACTATGGACATCATGGTGAAGGGGCAAGCATTCTCTCTGCCATAAGGAAGTATCCCTTCCTTGCTGAGCTTGAGATGTATGCCGGTTGGAACGTCGTAGTCCTTGCGAAACTCAATCAGTATGCCCGGCGTGTTTACCAAGAAACGATAGCACTGCATAGAGCCTAGTGTAATCTACTCGGCAGAATGTGTTGGACTAGTTATGATCAGCAACTATTTGGCCTTTGAGAGTGCTTGTGTTGGTGTGCCTAGTCTTCTAGGACTCTGTATGGTGGAAAACCAAAGTTAAGTGCAAGTGGTAGCACAGGTGATCTTAGTTTTTGCTCAATCGCGCAGATAAGCTGGGTATTAGCTTGGTCGTGCGTAACATCTAGATGTTACCTTTGTTGTGCAGAAGGCTGTAATCTAGCCTGGTCGGCCAACTAAGCTGGATTTTAGCTCGGTCGCACAACTAAGTTGGGTTTTAGCTTGGTTCTATATGATATCGTTGCAAACTCCTGGTTTGTTTGGTCCTAGTCAATTTTTAGATCAAAAAATGAAATTTTGCCTAGTTTGGCCCAGATCCTCCCATGTTCATCTCAAAAGATGAATAGTACGTTCAAGGATGAAGAATCAGAGACACTTTAACACTAAAGATGGTATGAAACCATAGTTTACCCAAATTTTTTTAATGGTTTAAGACGCTATTACTCTATTTTGGATGTAGGTAACACAATGGGGGCTCAAGAATACGAAGAACTTCATGAAGAATAATAAAGAATACTAATGGATATGAAAAACTTACGGGTTAGAGCTCTAATCAACGCTCCAATCGGTGAAAAATGCTCCAGAGGTGACGACGAAGTAGAATTCACAAAAGGAATGCTTCGATTTGGGCACAAGATGCAAGAAATCAGGGATAGGCGCTCTAGGTCACTGA